ATAGGTTGAATCCTGTGCAATGAAAGCTTGTCCTTCACAACGTTGGATCGTGACTTTCATCTAGTTCTAACGTGAAAGGCGGCCGGAAGTTTGGATTACACGGTGATGCAGAGAGGGCATATGCGTTCATCGACTTTACACATAGACATTTAGGTGCACTCACTCCTGAGCTCTTTCTAAGATTGCACAAAACACACGTCAAACTGCACTTCGAAGTGCATAATGTCATTGCACCCCACTGGTTAGAAGAGACTCAGAACTTTTGGAAAGAATCCAAAGACGGGCTACAAGAGGAGTTGTTGGCCTCTGAAATAAACCTTGTGATGAAAATCTAGAGATGTTTGGCCTATTCACACTTGGCTACCGTCGGCTTAGGTGGGATTTGATTACTGCCTACAAGACAACGAATGACCACGGTAACCCAAACAAAGGCGTTCTGCCATTAAGTAAGTATGAGCTTTCCTGTGGAAATCCCGGAAGGATAGCTCACCAGAGGGTGAAGACTCGGGTGCGCTCCAAATTCTTTTCACAGCGGGTCTGCCGTTCCTGGAATTCCTTACCGGCAGATGTGCCCACGGCATCGCCTATGAAGAGCTTTAAACGAAGACTGGATACTCACCCAGCGACACAAGGACTGCGTCCAAATGGCGCATCCCCTTAAAGCCTCATACACCATTTATGGGTCGACATCTAAATTCTTCGTTTTACTTCCTCACATCCCCTCCCATCCAACTCTCCCGACTACTCCAACTACTACACTTATTTTTATCATTATTGCTGGTATTATATACATATATATAGTTATACATATATATATAGTGTCAGACAACTCTCATAAACTGTCAATGTCCAGCTCTTACTACGCTGGACCTCACGCTGTCCCTCAAAGACTTTCCAAAACACTTTGTATTAACCAACGCAAAAACCAGAACAAAGATTGGCGATTCGAGAATCCTTTATTCTTACGCCAATGTGTAACCAACAATAAGATTAGTATACACAAGATCTAAGAATGAACGTTATAACAATAAATCACGATAATACTTCCGATAGTTTTCTCTCTTCCAACGAACAGCGAGCGATGAGACGATGACTGATGGATGGATGACTCCCGCTAAAAAATATGGAGGAGTTGGGTTTGAGCAAACAACCATGAATTGATCGTTCAATCTTCCACTACACTGACATATAGATCAACTTCAAATTTAATCGGCTGTCTGTTTTTACGTTTTCTTCATTTCTTTTTCTGTCTTTTAGTCTGAATAACCTGCGCTAATTATATCTGTTATCATATATTTTCTTTTAACGACGACACCGGAGGGCTAAGTGGTGAAAGGATCAACTCCAGTCACAGTAGCAACGAAGTCTTAACACACCGCATACAACGAACAAAAAATAATTAATCCCAGTGCCACTCCTTTTGGAGTCAACCCAAGCCACAACAGTCAAGTGGCGGGACGAACTACGTAGAAGTTTACTGAAGATCAGGAACCTTTACTCCGCAACCAAGAAGCGAGCTCAAAGAATTGGTCCATGCCAGCTCGTAAAAACGACATTGGATATACCAGGCAGGGAGGTGAGAATAGATACAGATACACACCTTTTGTGTAGTAGGAGGTGGTATGGAAAGAGATGGTCTTATGTGCTTCCTGAACACACCTACTGCATTACAACGAGGAAAAGGGGACTTATTAACATTCAAAACACTTTATAATCCAACATATATTTTAGAGGTGTCAATGTACTAGTTGAGCGCGTTTACACAGCGACTGCGAGACCCAGGTTACTGAAACACTGGAGTAAGTGCCAACTATGCCGTATAGCGATGAGATTCTCCGAGGAGATTCAGAACAACTCGAAGTCAGCTGGGACATATTTGGCGGCCAAGTTAAACTCTGAAGGCTCCCATCAGACGTCTTCGGTACGGGAAAAGTACCACTAATTCTACAAATTTAGGCAAATTAAAGTTGAAACTTCAAAATATAAGTCCCACCTCAATCATAGTACCTTCGAAGTATTCAAGGAGCTAGCACAATAAGGTGCTGTATGTACAGACGCTTACATAAAGAAGCATTGAAGGGAATGCTTCCAGTGTTCGACAAAAATACATGCGGAAAATACAATAAAGCAGAATGAACCCTAATTGAACCAATGCCATAACGATCTAAATGGAAAGAATACTTCACCATTGATTGCCTATATGGTTATATGCTGCAGTTCCGCTACAAGCACTAAGAGTTTCTCACTGTGAAATTTCCTTTTATAAATCTAAACATTCGTGTAAAACTGAAGAAGCTCTAGGTGTGAAGGTAGGCAGCCTGTAGACGGCCGTAGGTCAGCTGATGGATATTGGCGTTGTTTTTGGAAAAGACGTCAAGCTAAGGTCATTTTTCGTTGTTTTACACACTTTTTACATATATTTCTGCTAAAAGTTGATAAAATACGGCGTATTTAGCAGAAATAAGCAATGGTGGTGTCCTTATCCGGCCGTAGCTTACAGGCAGTTTGCAGTTTGTTGGAAAAACGTACTTATCCGCTCAGAATATGTCAAATTATTTGAAGACACATGTTATAACGACCATTTCGTGAATTTTTTTTGCATTTTAATGGATTACACATGGACATGATGAGGTGGAATTGCTCCTTTTGGTAATTATTTCATTTAGTTTATTGTGTACTTTTCCTAATGCTAACAAGGCTCCTCCACATGTATTTCTTCAAGGAAAAATCTGCAGAAATACTTAGCAATTATATACGCATAGTATTTCCTTATTTTATGGCATAAACTTGACGTTTGCAGGCAGATGCAATATCGATTTTGTATTATTGGAAAATGTTTACTGACGTAATTATATACAATTCAACTAATTATTTCGTCATTTCAAACATATTTCATGGTTAATTATTGTGTTTACACTGAAAACAATGTCTACATCTGTATAATTCTTATGTTCTTTTTCAGATAATATCTACTTCGGGAATTTCATGGATTTGGGTGATAAAGAAAAAGATACCTGCACTGTTGTCGATTTTGTATTACATGTTAATTCATTAATAATAAATGTATTCCTCGTTATTCGTTTGTTTATTCTACTTGATAAGACCGAATATTAGCCCTTGCGTACTTTGTGGGGTATAGAGTATATGAGGCTATCTTTGAAATACTAAGTAGTAGCAGATATTCGGAGAAGCCTATTGGTAAAAGATTATGTTGTAGTCAAATAAAGTAAATATGCCTAAATCGTAGAGGAGGTATTGCGATTATAAAGCGTTTTGAGTTATCTATCGTCTTAGCAGAATACATATACTGATTCGCGATTCATAGTCACAAAGTGAGGGTAAATCCACCTGAGATAGTTTGCTTGTGATTTCTGCATGTCGCAGTGTACCATGAGGAGAGACTATGCCTATGCTGTTAGATGCATAACTCAGTGCAACTTCGGTTATCGTAATAATTAAAAACAGAAGGCCTAGGGTTCTCAGCCAAAGAACACGATACGTTGCTGTCTGCTCATATAATCACGTAAACAAAAGTCTTCAAGATTCCGCATTTACTTCTAACAGCTTACCCTCAACTTCTAAATTAGCTCGGGCTACTTATGTTACTGGAACACGGTCGCATTACATCAGAAGGAAGACAGATTCATTGAAAAATTGTTTATTAAACAAAAATGAGATTTCAAATGTACAGATAATTCAGATGAGTAGTCCTCTGTTACCGTTAGTAAGTTTCATCTGCGTACACGGCATATATGTTTTTCGATAAGTCTGAAAAGGTTTAAGAAAAGCAAAATTAACTTGGGAATTACATGTATGACATGAATAAAAAATTTTCCTGATAAGCATTCACAAGTAACCACTTTGCAAACAATATATATATATACATATAAGTAGCCCAATAGTTTTCACTAAACTTAAGGGACTTCGGAACTTATCGTTGGTCGATATCTAGTAGGTCAATGGAAGCATCATAAAATGATAAAATTATTTAACGACAAGCTATGCAGTAGTTTCCAGAGCTTATACAAATATTTTAGCAAAAATGATAACCACTTTATGACAAATAATAGGTCTTGACAGCAATAATAATAACATTCGTGTTCACAGTGACTATAAAAACAATAATAGGTATTATTATCGCAACGAATTAATCATTAACTTAGGTAGACAACTAATAATAATACAATCATATTAAATAAGTGTATCACGTGATACATTTATTACACGAACAAATGTGGGGACAAAGTGGGGACATTTTGGGGAAAATGGGGACAAAATGGGGACAACATTTTGAAGGATGGGGACAAAATGCGAATAATGGGGACAAAATTGGGAACCATTGAAAAAGTCTTACTTAACTCGGTAGACTACTGAAAAATTGTAATCAGTAAAATGTTTAGGTCGAAAATACTTCACCGAGGCTGGAAATGAATAAAACGCATGAATTAACTGCTGCATTTTTCGTAAATCAATGAAATCTACATTTTCCTGTTGAATAATTTTTATTCTTACTGACCACTCAGTGCAGTTAGTGCAAAATTTGTTCAGTAAACGTTAATTACAGCGCCACGTATATCAGGGTTTGTTTTATTGCAGTTACACATTTTGCGCGCACTTTTAAACTGTTCAGCATGCAGGTAGGTGGTTGCTGTTGTCCATTTTCGATTTTTCTCCTGGTGTAATACTGAATACCCTATACTAAGCCTGAAAAGATTACGTGAGCGTAATCTACAATTGACCTGCCATTACACAACGTTTAACAGAAGTTATAAACGTAATTATGCGCAGATAATGGACGAGATAAATTCAGCGTCGAAGTAAACGGAGGCTGTGTCACATTCTGTCCTTCCTGTTGAAGTCGAGCCCTCTTCAGTGAACACTGATAGTACGACTAATGAAATCGAGGTAGTGCCGTCGATACCGTGTTCCACGACTGCAAATCAGGAGGAGTACACGATGAGGTTATATATGAATGTGAGGTGGATGCACGTAGGCCAACAGTTAACACCAGGGATACACTTATTACTTCCTTTTCACCAGATAACTTAGCTATAGCTCACGGTAGACCGGGTCTTATAACGCAGATAAATAGGGAAGGATTAATATTCAGACCTTATGCAGAGTTTAGTGATTTCTTCGAGGAACCATTTAAGTCATCCCACATTGGGATATGGAAATGCTCACAAGTTAGCCCATACAAGCTAGAAACTCGTCCGTCAGACATTACTTGTAAGTGTTTCGGAATTCGTACAGATAGGTATGAAGTTGCGGTGCCTTTGCCTCGTACTTTTCCATAACCTGCCTAGATAGTTGTGTCAATCGTCGGCATTCCTGCATTCAATGGCAAGAGGACTAATAAGACAGTAAATTTTGTTTTTATCATATTTATCATTTTTTACAGAAAGAAAAAAAGACTTATGCTGAAGCAGTGGAGGCACAGAAAGTTTGTTTGTCTTCAAAATACCCTACAACAAATTTCATGGAAGCTGTTGTGTCACCGATAGCCAGGTAACGCATTCCTTTAATATCATTACTCCTCCAGCATGTCAACTCAACAAATGCAAGTGGCAACGTCTTCACATATATCGCAACCATTTCAGCAGACTACGTATGTCATTTTTCATTAGTAGTTACTTTGCAGTAAGGAAAACTGTGATCCAGATAATAAACTGGTAATTGAGTTGCAATCCCTTGAGGGAGAATTGCATTCCTTTCAAGAATATATGAAATCAGAACTTAAGTCACTTGAAACGTTAGAGGCGCAATTGTTGTCAAAGGGTGTGACCATCTTTGGAACCGAGAAATCGACCATTGACAATGGTCAACTGCAATTCCCGTTGGCAACTGATGAAGAGATCACCCTAGCAGCGTTATTAAATATCCGAAATTTGAAGAATCATTCGTAGGTTCACAATAAACTTTTACTTACTCTCAGATGATCAATCATTCTACTTGTGTGTATTAGTCGCAACTATAACTGTTCATTACCGAAATCTTGTAAACTGTTTTCTTTAACCCCCAAAAAATCAAATATAATTTTTTCAGGTAAAAAACCTTGATTTGGCTTTTGAGTTGTTTGACGTAATCAATATACGGCTATAGTAAATGGGTGATAAAGGGAAACTTACCAGGTCAACGGTGGAATATTCGTTAAAAAAGGGGAAAATTATGGTGGTAATATTCGATTAAAGAATAGGGAAATTCTAGGGACAGTATGGGGAAATTATGCGATTTCTGAGGACAGAATGGGGTAATTGTGGGGACATAATGGGGAAAAAGGGGTAATTGTGGGGACAACGGGACTCTACAAAATGGGGAAAATCTTACTATTTCCCCATTTTGAACACGATTTTCCCCATTTTTGTCGAATCTTAATCTTAAGAAGCATGTGTTTACTTACTTTCACTGTATTCTATCAATACTGATGTGCTCAACAAGCCTAAGCTTGTTGGAATAACTATTCCAACTGGATTTAAGATTAATTCTGAAAGTGAGTGGAGATCCAGTTGATGTCAAATAAAAACATGTATTACACTGCTTACTGAGACATCTGGTACCTGGTTTCCGATCTTCGTGACAAGAACACAGTCTATCTAGGTTTACCTACATATACATAAGTATACGTATATGCTGCATCAACCATTCCGTTTTTATCATGATTAGCCAGACCACTGTGTATATTATACTTGTTTAAGGATCTCTGAAAATAATGGTCAAGCGATAATTGAAGTTATTACCTCTTCAGAACATTGTTTGCATTCTTGATACTCCTGAGAAGGCCTCAGATCTTAATTTGGCATGAATTCGTGGAATTCAGCAAATAAATCGGCAAAGTTCAACAATAGCGTCCTAAGGGATGCAAACGCACGAGTGACCTTCGGGCATCCAATCATAAAAATGAGGAATTTTTGCACGAAAAATGACGTATATTCACAAGAAAATGTATGAAAAACACATAAAATGGATTATATTTCTCTGACATTACTTAAAAATACGTCCCAGTTGCGATGAAGAGTATCAGTTGCCAATTTGGACTAGTTTCTGTAGATGTATTGACCAAAGTGCTGTTTTGGGAATGGTTCATCTCTCATCTCTTGCTGTGTAGTCCTCTCCTAAGCCCTCGGTTTAGTTACTATGGTTCCAGTAAGAGCATTGGCGACTAAATACAAGGGAAATGAGGATAATTAAACAAGTTGAAATAAACGACAAATCTATTCCTAATCGCAACCCTAGCCTTAATCCTGACCCTAACCCTAAATTTCACACTAGCCCTAACCTTAATCCTAACCCAAATGACAATCCTTATCCTGCCGTAAATCTAACCCCAATCCCAATTATGACCGTATCCCTAACCCTAACCCCAATACTCGCCTCAACCCTAATCCTAACCCTAACGAGATGTTAACACATTGTCCAAACAGTAATTAAAAGTGTTATCTGGGTGAAACTTGCTCCTTATTTGGTGAATAGGGTTGATATTTCAGCTATGATAATGACAGGGACCGTTAGCTAACGACTAGCATGCATTCAAGGTCATTTGAACGTTCGCACTCCTGGGACGCTATTCTTGTACTTCGCCAGTAAATCCACCGCTATATCATTTCTTTCCTGAGCTGTAATAATTTGTGTTGTCAGTTATCTCTCCAATTTGATAAAACGCTCACGGAAATTCAGAACTTAACCAAGCAGTAAAATGATGTTTGAAATTTCCTCAACTCGAATGACAAACTGGCCAATCACAAGCGAGCGAATCGCTTGTTTATCTCACTCCCGGTCACTCAAAATTACTGCCGTCGACAGGCTACCGTGAAGGTACGGTAGCCGAATTGTTTAAGTTGCTTGGGCGAGTTCATCTTTGGTTGGCTTCAGCCAAGAGTAATCGGCTTGATGTTTCTGTGGGAATCTATCCATTTGTACCTGATATTTGACCAAACTACCTTCTGACTCCTTAGCCTGGTCTGCCCAAACTGGTGGCTGCACTACTCTTAACACCGCTCCAACTATTAAAGTGAACATAACGTACTTACGCCTGTTCAGAGATGCATTTATTAACAATAGTGAAGGGAGAATTTAGGAATGAACGATCGCGCCACATTTCGGCGATCTCGCTCTTATCCCTTGAATATTGTACTCTCCCCATTGTGATTCTAACAGCATGGATAAACAAACAAATCTTTGAAGGCGAATTCACTGAGGTTCGCTTGAATTAGCGAATTTATTTGATTCCCCTTATCACTCTCACGTCAGCATCAACTATGGGTGATGCGATATGTGAAAAGGATTTCAGGCGCCCCGCTCAGAAACTGTCAATAAATCGATCCAGAGTTTGATTGGTTAGAGGAGTGATCGAGAGTTCTTGCCCTTTTCAGGAACTAACTCTCCAGAGCTCTTGTGACAGCAGAAGGCAAGACACGGAAGCCAAGGTATATTTTCAAGTGGTCGAACCGCTGTTTGTTTATATACAGTTTATATTCGTTAACCAATCACTGAGTGCATGATTTTGTTTTACATCAAACGACGTGATTTAGAATGTTCATGTATATATATATATATATATATATATATATATATATATATATATATATATATATAGTATTCTGTTAGTAATACAATATTAAACTGTAGGAAAATTATTCTGACTGTAATTACAAATAGAATGTTCCAATATACACATGGCATCCTGTCGTTAACGGAGTAATAACTGTGGGAATATGTGAGAATAATATTCCGTTGGAACACATCGTCTGAATCACAGCACGACATTCTGAATGACATTTAGGTATTTAAAACAACCAGTTCAAATTCAGAGCAATTTATATCCAAGAAAAGTGGGAATGTTAGAAATTTATTGATCACTCAACAATAAATCGATATATCGAGGTTAATGAAAGAGCAGGTTGATCATCTAATTCATAGTTGGTTACCGTAAGTACACTAAAAGCATCCACAGGTGAATGTCAATAAAATACATTTCAATGCTTCCGATCATAAAATTTCGGTCTTCTGTCAACTAGAAAACGATAAATCCACGGCAAGGCATGGCATCTCCGAAGAAAATGGAACTGGTACGAGAAGGCAAGATCAGTGGACATCCACTCAGAGTTCATCAACGCTGACTCTTCGCGGTGAAACAGGGATTCATCCATTTTTCAATAAAGAACAATATATATTTATGCCAAGTACACCTGGGTCACCAAGTACAAGGCTAAAGTGGAGAGTCAAGCGAAAGGGATAGATATGACTTAAGTACAAGCTGAGGACATACGTAAACATCGACATTCATCGACAACGTTGGCAATCGGAACGTAGATCCACGCCATTTCAAGTCTCTAGACTAACTCCCTAACCCCCTTAGTCTTGGAGCAAGCACAAACACAAACTGCCACAACGAATACCGAAGTGGTAAGCATCGTTGTCAGTAACGATCTATGTTAGTGTTCTCTTCACGACAAAGTCTTAAGTGTCACTGTCACTTGCTTTTAATTATTTCACAGATCTGAGTCTTAGACAAGATTCATTTTTATGCTCATGGTTACGCATCAACTGTTCTGTGGTGATTGACAATTTCTATCTCTGTATTGTTTAAAATACTTACTGTTGACTGTTAATATATTCCTAATATGAATTACAATATAATTCCGGTAAATACAAATTCCTGAATTCCGCCCTCTCTGTGTTTTGGTTGGATTCTTGTAATTCGGTCATCTCGAAATACTGATATTCCGATTACAATAAATTACTACAAATTGGCGTCGCGATGGAGCTAAGTAACCTGGGAAAATTTCCTCTTAATGGTTCTCCGCGGGAGATTGCTGATTATCTTGAATGCTTCGATGCGTGGTGCATTTCCAAGAATGTTCGGGATGATAAAATACCTGCTCATTTCATCACCGCTATTGGGCTTGATGCATATAGCCTAGTGAAGAATCTGGCATTTCCAGATAAACCCATTTCTCCGTCATATGACAAGATCCGTGAGCTTCTGACAAATCACTTCCATGTAACTACTTTTGAGACGCAAGAGAGGGCTCACTTCAACAAACTGGTACGTTCTCCCAACCAGAAGATTAGAGACTTCATTCTTCAACTTCAAATTCAAGCCTCAAAGTGTAATTTTGGAGATCAGCTACATACTCAACAACGTGATCGTCTAATTGCTGGAATCAATATTCCTAAATTAGAGAAAGAGTTAATTCAGATTCCTTCTTGTACTTTTCAAACTGCTAAAGATGTATGTATTACATATGAAGATGTCAATAATGAATACTCTGCTCCCACTACGTCAGTATCTGATGTCATGTTGTCCAAAGTCGAAAATACAAGTGTTCATGGAAAGGAATCCAAACTGCCGTCCACAGGTAACAGAATGTAGCGAGAGATCAAAAACATTAAACCGTGTTTATCCTGTGGAAAGTTACATCTACGAAGCACTTGCTGTTTTCGGAGTGCTAAGTGCCATAAATGTGGTAAAGTTGGAGACATCAAGACTTTGCAGAAGTTCGAATACTTATGTTGCTCAACATTCTTATAATTCTCCCAAGCTGTCTAGTAAAATGGAGTCAATGTGTCTTTCAACCTTTCAAAATACTCAAGCTAATCCGATGAAAACCTCCACTACAAGTTCGGCAAATCAAGTGTCAACTGTTCTCAAAAATGAGGTAGCTGAGTTACAGTGCGAACTGTCGAAGACACGAAAAGACCTGAATGAGATGAGAGAGCAAATGATTAAAATGGAGGAATTGTTGCATATGCATAGACTGCGTCCGTCGAATGCAGAGCATACAAGTACCCGTGAAAGTCCTGCAAAACGTTTCAAATCTCGAATTCTGAAGAAGCGTCTGATGTCCACGACTTCTAATGTACATTATTACAAAGGTAATGACTATAGACCTTCTGTTGGAATTATACTACAAAAAATGGGAAATCGAGTGGTGAAGATATTAGACATCAAAGATCACTCAGTTCATAACAGACACCTGGACAAAGTGACAATAAATGAAGTAGGTCGTTCCAATTATAATATTATTGATTCCGCTAATAATCCTGATTTTGT